CACACACACACACACACACACACACACACACACACACACACACACACACACACACACACACACACACACACACACACACACACACACACACCACACACACACACACACACACACACACACACACACACACACACAGCAGCTGTTTGGGGGAGCCAGGCAAGAGACAAGTTTACATTTCCATGCCCTCTCTGCAGTGCTGAAGCAGCATGGTCACCCTGTGAAACATTATATACACCAAAGCAGTCAAAACAGCCACAGCCGTCCTGCACATAAACTGTTAACAAGTTCCATGTTAAATATATTAGGGATTTGAGAGATACTTTATAAAGTAACACAAAACCTTTGAGAAATACTCCAGACAAAACATGATTCCCGAGTTAAACTAACTCTTTGCTTTGTGAAACAAAAAACAGAGACTCCTTGCTACTCTAACGTCCATTGTGTACTAAATTATATGGCTTTGCTATGCGTCACATCAAAAACAGTGTGCCAATCATCTTATTGCCACCAGGTCTAGCATATGGATGACAGAATGACAGACACATCCTTCTCAACAGGAATTACAAGTGCATACTGATAATTAAAGATACAAGTGAAAAAATGTCACCATTCTCATCCAATTCTCATCTGCACCATTTCAAACAGATGCTACTGTGAAGTGCTTACGGCAGCCCATTTGAATACTGTTGGAGATCCCTGCATGATAAGCTGTACATTTCCATTTGGATCATCAAAATTCAAATGGCTCTAAGAAAATCAAAGACCAACAAAGGCTGAAAAAATGTATTCTGCGTCACAGACAGCTGCTTGCGAATGGATTTATCCACTGGCCGTGATCTGCAGATAGAGCCATTCAAGCATTCATAAACAAGTTCTTATCGTTTACAAAGCAGATAAACTGTGTCTTTGCTGTGTTGACTGCAAAAAACCTTTTGGAGTCTGAATTGCATAGGGAAGGATGCTACAGCCGACTACTTAAAATACTTGTCCGAGGTGCTCTCTGCACTGCTAGCATCAATATGTTCCTTGAAGTGTTGAGTACTTGTATAATGCATCCTGATAGTGCCACCTCACACACCTTGAAATAGGCAGTGCATCAGAATAAGAACATATTTGTAATCTTCTAGCGACAGTGCATTGCGGTTCCCGGAACGGATATGTAAGGATATAATAAGAAAAGATAAACGCATGGATGTTAGATCAGGCAAACCTACCAGCCATATTAACTGGGGTGTAACAATACATAAATATGGATCCATTTATTGATGTAATGATCAGCAATCTAATATCATCGATGCAAATTAAAATTATCTATATATCCTCTTTAATATTTGCCTTCATTATCAAGGCCGTAACCATGCAGTCAACATTGGGGGGGACCAAAAATGTAATCAAATTTGGAATACTAATTTCCTGCCATTCTAAAGGAAAATATATAAAAATTCACTAACACATGGGATACTTTAAAACCTGTTAAACCCCATGCATCCTCAATGTGGGTGGGACAATTTGACGGGGAGTGTGAGCAGGTGCTGGACCTAATCTCCTCTAGGGGGGTCCGGGGGCATGCCCGGGAATTTTTTTTAAGTTGAAGTTAAATACATCAATCTGGTGCACTTTGAGAGCAAAATTAGGGACTAAATCTATAGATACATCTCTCAACACCCATATGAAACAGAACTGTAAACAGATTAACTTTTTCTTTATGCATATTTTACAAATCACTCCCCTAGCTACTATTCCTGAAAAGTTCGGTTTTAACATCAGAACTACAAGTTATTTACACAAAGAAGCTAAACCGGAGGGTTTATTAACATTACCATTACGAAATAAAATAATATAGATTACTTTAGGGCTGACTAGAAAAGGATACCAGAACGGATGGAGGGCAAATTAAAACATGACTGACCTGCATGGAGCATCAACGCTAACTGAAGCTGGACTCGGACGTGCGACAGCGAAATACACCCCCCGGGTACAAAATAAAGGTATGCATAAACAAACAAAGGCGGAACCAATTTACATATGAATATATCATTTTGGTGAAGTTCACAATAACAGAAAATAAAGGTTTTCGAGTATACACTTTTTTTTAGGCCAGTGGTTCTCAAATGGGGGTACGCGGACCCCTAGGGGTACGTTGGAGTACTGCAGGGGGTACGTGAGATTTATTTTATGTTAATGAAAAAAAAACGTAATTAATGCATTTAAACAAACTACTAATAGTAGATTAATTACTTTCTTCAAAAGTTTACAGTAATTCTGGATAATAAAATGGGAAGAATAAACGGGGTGCTCTCTTTTCCTCTCCCTCTCCTGACAGCTCGTCAGTCTCGTGCAGCTCGCTGAACCTGTAATAAGTGACCCAACAATAAAGAATAAATATATGTATAACTAGTTTAGCTAGTTCCATAGTAGATAAACTAGCTAAGTGTGTTATGTCTAACTCTTAGTGTATTTTGCTGTGATCATGCAGAGCTGCGTGGTCACAGCGGCGGAGCTGTGATCATGCAGAGCTGCGTGGTCACAGCGGCGGAGCTGTGATCATGCAGAGCTGCGTGTTCTCCGTCAGCAGCAGCTGATCTGTTCTCTGATCTCTCTCTCGCGTCTGGTTAGACTTCACTCGCGTTTATGTCCAAATCTATCAGATCTAGCTAGTTCTAGCTAATGATATGACTGCCTGCTTATCAAAGGACCTAAACAATAAGCGTTGCTTGGTAACGGCGTGTGGCCGCAAAGTATAGCATTATGCATATGTTTATATGAGGGGTCAAAATCCCATGCTCATAAAATGCTCATATATCTTTTTCTCTTTATTCCCCACGCCCCAAAATAAATAAATAAATATACTAATTTTAGGAAAAGTAACGAAGTTTGAGCAGTGTGGGTTTTATATTAACAGAGTTACACATATTTCAAAAACGCGAAGTGTAATAACTGCAGTTTGCCAACCTGTCACTGAGAATGACAAAGTTCCTCAGTGAAGCACAAACCCATGTTTCTCACTACATTGTACAACTTATTAAAAAGATCAGTTCAATGCAACTAATGTCGTCTTAGTGTTATTACATGATGTTAAAATTGGTTTGCCATGAATTTAGTGATGGATTCTAAACATTTGAAATGTAGCATTTAAGTGTTTCTCAGTTACAAGGTTGTTGTTATAATAAATCAGACTCTGATGGTGCAGCACTGTACTGTACCTCTTTATATAGGCATTTTTTCCGTAACAATTTTGTTTGCGCTGATCAGGGGGTAGGTACTTGGCTGCATTTATTTTTCAAAGGGGGTACATTATTGAAAGAAGTTTGAGAACCACTGAGTTAGGCTATATATTGGGAGGGGGGACATTTTGAGCGTATCTGAATATTGGGGGAGATGTGTCCCCCCCAATGTATATGGTGAATTTGGCCCTGTTCATTATGACATTCCCTGTGTTAACATTTGCGTCCATGTTCTCCTTCCTAAACATTCAAACAGTGCCTAAACATGAGCAATGTTGAAGGCCTGGTAATAAAAGGACTCAAATCCTATTTAAGTTGCTTTTTGTAAGTTGAATAAATGTAAGTGATAATGTCATAATAGGCATTTTATATCTTCTCATATTGATCGCGGGCCCCTGAATTAAATCAAATGGGAATCTTATTGTGGCTCACTTTGTGGCAAATATCCTATTCATTAAACGTGTAAAACTAGCATTTAGTGATGTATTCTAACTTTTAACACTACTACTCCTAATGATCAACAGTCTTCGTCATAACTGTCAGACAACCATTAGTATTAGCTACCAGAGTACAGCTGGTAGGGCTGGATGCATTTTATTTTCCACAGCACAATATCTAGCTTCTTTAAATCCCACTAACCCTGTAGGTGGAAGTTCCTACTTACTGCTGCCTGTATGTCCAACAGGATATGGCTTTTTAACAACATAAATAGTCTCCCTGTGGGCCAAGTGCAGTGCAGAACTTCTATGTCCTACTTTTTGTGTTGACGGTATGTCCTGGTGTCCCAGCTAACAAAAGAACCGACCAATACAAGACCTGAATAATTCAAGGCAAAGTGTAACGCAACACTCTCGTCGTGGTGTAGTAGGAAATAACGGCAAATAACACAAGTCCTAGTTTCCAAACCAGCACGGAAACAAATGAACTGAATGACCAGCCAGCTCAGGCAGTATAGTCACACATATCTGGCAGCAAGGTTTAGGAAAAAATGCCTTGCTTCTCACTCGATCACGTTAGCCACTTTAGCTTAATGAAACCGGTTATTTTGGTCAGAGGTTAGGAAATTAACGTCAATGTAAACAGTTTACTCCAACAATGTTCTCTAAACTTGTGCTTTAAGAGAATGTTACATCACAAAGGTAGTTTAAATAAGAACCGGGCTTAGATCATCTAAATCGTGACTGCAAGCTATATGAAAGCTAGCCTGCAGAATTTAAGTTCATTTTTTAGGCAAAAATCACCACAGATAAAGGCACAAATATACAACTAATATGAAATTCAGCACAACTTGAATGGCGGTTTAACCTGCACAGCTTTAGTTGACAGATCGTAAAGCTAATGTAATGTTCAGCAACCAATTATGTTCGTCAACCTGCTTAGTAAACAGATGCATATCCATGCTCCAGATGATGGCTTGTCCTAACTGTTGACTCTAAACCAGCTTCCATCGCTACGACTATTCTTCGAAACAAAATATCAACGAACAATACACATGCTTACATAAACGCATTTGAGGCGTTCAAACCTATGGTTCAAACGCATGGGGTTCCTGCACCGTTTACACTCAGCCAAATAACTTTATCGTCACTTAATAGTCCATTTCATCTCCCCTTCACGAATGCATTCATTCTTATTGCAAATACATGTTTATTGTGTATCGGTAAGTAGACTGAACAGTAACGTTTAGCTAGCAAGTGGCTGCTTCAAGCCTGGCTAATCAGCAGCTAGCGTTAGCTAACGTTGACGCTAGTGCTGGAGTATCCCTTTACTGCTTACCTTCAACGGCCTCGCAGATGTTTTTCTCATCGTCCCATTTAGTTTTCCATCAAGTGCCCACATGCGAATACCATACACGTTTCCAATACCAACAATTCCTAACTTTTTGTCATCTTCATAGGTGGAACTACGTGTTAAATCCCAAACCGGACCACCGCCGACAAAGTAATTTCTCTACCACTTACAACAACAACGTCAACCGAAGAATAGTACCCGCCCCCACAACGATCCAGCCAATCAGAACGTAGAGTCAATTTCATTGACATTTATAAGAACCAATGGTCATTCTCGGAGTCTATGACTGATGTTCCCCGATAGAGTAAACACCAAATGAGAACGAGAGTACAAAACATGCGCTTGCCAATTGGCTGCAGAGAAATAAAGGGCAAGGGGTTTTGTCCAAGTAGCCTATGAGTGTGGCATTGATAGCCCAGAGTGGCAGGTGCTTTGGGGTTGACAAAACAACAGGGGCGGCACCACTGCCCGGGTGAGGTCATCGAGGATGATGTAAAATCGACGTCATTTGCGGGGCTAAATAAAACACAACCGGACTCACGCATCTTTTAAAAAGTTTAATGTTCCCCAAGTTATATAAAAACAAAACAACATTATGCAGCAACATTGAGAAAACGTATACAACATTTTGAAGGAACAATAATAATGCAGTACATGCAAGTTGGTGTCGAAAGTAAAATTAGTTTCACTGACAGCTGAATGGATACCCTTTAGTTGCATTGTAAAGCAGCATAATCAATATACAAAAAAAATGAAAATGCTGCTTTTAGGCCAATTTATTAATTTGTTATTGATCTCTTCCGAGAATTTCCTAAACCCAGTATTTGAAATGTGTACAACTAGATGCCATACAACTGTTACACAAAAATATCGTACGAAAACTGCTTCTTATGAGAAGATGAGGATTAGAAACTGCCTGTCAAAGTGACAGACACGCCAATGACAACTGCCAAACTCAACGACGCCTCCTGTCAGGACTTCTGCTGCGTCTCCGTCCACCAGTCCTGGGGGGGAAAGGAAAAGTTCAATGACTGGGAAATTATATTAAGTACAGGGTTCTCCAGACTTTGCAAACACTGAGGGCTAGGCAATATATGATAAATTAAAAAGGCTTGATCATGAAATAGCACCAAAATTACCATATAGCGCCAAAATCTTTCAAAAATGCAGATGACAAAGAGAAACATAAATGTTGACAACACTCTTTTGGGTCCTGGAAGTTACTGTCACCACGCCGAAACACACAATAAATAAACACAGCACCCTCACCTCCTCTTGTTCTTGGGGGGCCCTCTGACAAATCCCCAGTCAACACTGATAGGCTGGCCCATCATGTCCTGAGCGTTGAGCCCTTCCATGGCTGCCTGGGCCTCTTTGTATGTCTCATACTCCACCAGAGCATATCCCTTAAACAGTCATCAGGAGAGCATGTGAGTTAATGACAATGTATGGGATCACTTTTTGGGCATTAGGCAACACTTGATTAAAATTCACAAAACAGGTTTACTGACCATTTAATGTTATATTCTAATAGGAAACAAGTGTTTTTAGATTAGCATAAAAGCTAAGCCAACATTACACACATTAGATGACTGAAGCATTGAAAAAGAACAAAAAAAAGTTCAAGTTTGACACTAAATCATGTAAGGCTTGAAACTGCTTGTAATGAAATGACAGTGGAGAAATTGTTTCAGGGCAAAATTTGTTCTTTCTTCATATCTGAAACAATGCTGCCACCTTGTGGATTACAGGACCGTTTTTGTACATTTGGACAGCAAAAGAAACGGTCAATGTGTCTTTTTGAGAAAACCATTAGAGAAATACAGATCCATTCTGCGAACGTTTGTTTATCCCGCAATTAAAAACGTATAAATATGTTATGTTAACAATTCGCCAATAGCAAGTAGCTGTGACAACATGGTTTACTTGTAAAGCAAATCTGCTTAACATAGACAAAAAATAAACATCTTATACCAGTCAGGAAGGATGAAACGTGTATTGTGATCTCTTCATTTGGAAATAATTCTTAATTTAGGCAAGAATTAGTGTGATTTAGGGTGACTAGGGCAGTTGTTTTCCTGGCTACGTTGACACAAGGGTTTGTTGCTTTTATAGCATCATTTCATTTTTAAAGTTGGATTTTGTTCTAGCCAAAGCTGTTGTACAAGGCTTTGTACTGTCACCATAAATGATCAAATAACACAGTCGTGCTGCCAAACAGTTGCAGGGCAATATTGAAATAGTTAAGAAAACTAAGAATAACCGTTTCTCTCATTTTAAAGTTAGATTGAAAATTCAAGTGTTTTTTTTCCCTCTCATTGGAAGATAATTGAATCGGTCATTTATTAGCTCAATATCCTCACAGGAAGAAGGTGTGTAGCAAACAAGTAAACTAAATATAATTAGACCATCTTAAATGATATTATCCATCAGATGGGCTGTCTTAATAACAAGTCAGTACAACGCCTATTTAAAATGAAGCCAACAAAGGGTGTGTGTAGAGTATTGGTGAGTCTCATTTTCTATTGAACCACCGAACTAGAATATCATTTTTAATTCCAAAAGTATCTTCTCGAAAAACCAATTTCTTTCACTGACTTTTTATTTTCTCAGTAGGTTAACATCAAAGTTGAACATCTATTGGATTGTTTAAATAACGGTTGTACTCCCCATAACGGTTTATAATGTACATGTACAACTAAAATCGGTTGAAGAAAGTGGCCCAGAGGCTGTGTCACAGAAACATGAATGGTTATCCGTCTCACCTTGAGGTAGCCTGTTCTGCGGTCGAGGTTTAAATGCAGGTTTTTGATTTCTCCAAACTCTGAAAACTTGTCATGGATGTCTTCCTCTGTGGCCTCTTCATGTACACCTGTTACAAACAGGATCCAGCCTTCCACAGCTGCAACAAGACAAAAACAAGAATAGGCGTAAGGGTCTGCTTTTTTAACGTGTTGATCCTGCTGCTTTCTACCTATATTCCATGATCTACTAAATGTTTGTTATTGCTTGTTTTGCACAATTCAAAAACATAAGCATTTCTGAAAATAAAGAGCAACACACATAATATACTGATAGCTCAAGGAACAGTCCCAACACGTGACACAGAACAAAATGTTGTACTTTATTGTACATCGGACAAATTGTGTTATTTAAACCTAGATGGTTTTGAATGTGCAAATTAAAGCATTTAAAATGTAATGCAAATATGATTTTAAAGGAGCCACAAACTGGTGACGATACAGAGATTTTAGACATTTGTTTTGTGAAATGTAATGAATTTTCTACGTTTTAAACAAAGCACTTTGGCATTTAAGGGTGACGTGTATTTTTTACTTGGTTCTAAATTGTGTAAACATTTAATTTACATCTTGGAGAAAAACAGCAACACTTACATCTCTGAGGGCCTGGCTCGTCACCGTCCTGCTCCACAGTATCGTAGTCTTCTTTGATTCTGGACCTGGCTCCTTCCTCTGGAAACAGCAACACAGAGAAATATCAAGCACTGACGACAAATCTAACCAACGGCATGCTGAAAAATGAGATAACAGGAGAAAATCTATCTTTCTCTGCCCAAGATGGTCTTAGTGTGAAACACAAATTAGACCTTTCAAGGGATGTTATGTTCTAAACCATGTCTTTTCCAAAGGTAAAATGTTCAATGTTTGTTTCTCCAAGTCAATATGATAACATTACAACTTATAGCTAAAAGTCTGGTGATATTAAACCAATTCAAACCTAGGCCTTTATTTCGCAGGAAAGACGCTTTTCTAGCATTAAACTGCATTCGAAACGTCCATGGTCCTTTTACAAGTTTAAATAAGTGGAGAGCCCATTATAATATCTTACAATGTTAGTTATATCAACAACAAAGGAAATATAGGGATAACTTTGACCAAAACATAAAGCAATATAACCCAAACAATGGTAACTCACCTGAGCCGAAGCCTCGTCCTTTCCTCTTCTTGGCCTTCTCCTTTAATTTGTGGATGCTCTCTGAGAAAGAAAAATGTAAACTTGAGTTGAGGTACTGTTATAAAATGCAAACTCAGCTGAATTTGAATAGTTAACATGATGATTACATGAAAGCAAAACAAAACAAATTATAAGGACGCTGAAATAGGTACGAGTGTAAGTCCTGTCCCATTTTATTAGCGTATCCTACCATTAGCTAAAGTTTTTAAAAAAAACAACAACAGCGTGCTATCGTCGGCTAATAACATGCTAAGTGTGATCAAATGATAGCTTTAGGGATAAACAAAATGATTTCACGTGTTTTGTGAAAGGGACCTTTTCAACAATTATTACCTAGCTATCTCACAAACAATGTTTGAATGAACCACCAGTGCGTTGTTAGCTTCATATTAGCTTGTTAGCATTTCTTTGGCCTTCCTCCACGCAGTCAGCGTTTGTACTTCGTAGAATTTACAGCTACTTCTGTTTTAAAGTAAACTTAAATATTTACACATTGTTTGAACGCTGACCTTATGGAGCATCTGATCTAAGTGGAGTTAAGTATTAAAATTACCATCACCATCCTCATCCATAGGAAAGTCCTCGCCTCCCGCTTCATGAAGATCCAACACGTCCGCCATGATGTCTGTCTGCTGGTCTGTGTGGTCTGTGTACGTACCACAGTCTATGGTACGTACTACGTACGTAACGCGCGTAAGTAAAATGAGTAAACAGATCGGCGGATGTTGCCAGGTTACGTAAAAGTAAAAAGTAAATACATTAAAATCGTGTACATTCATATTTATTTCAGTTGTAATGCTTATAATACCTACAACAACAATGTCAAATCTAAATACCTGTACCAATTGGCGTGAACAATAAGTTACAACTTTACTACACATTCAAGTTTCAAACAAAAAAGCATTGGCTACATGCCAAATGATGAACTCCTTCTATAGGCCTTCAACATTTTTAAGGAGGAGCCTATGTTGCATTTAAGTTGAATTTATGTACAAAATAGACAGATGGATCAACAGTACAATCCTGCTTATACATTGTTCATAATCACATTATTTAATGCATAGTAGTAGTGGGTTATAACTGTCACAGGAGACATTTTATGTATTTAAATTCTGATTAAACATTCATACTTTACCTTGGCTTGACTTACATTTTGAATGAAGGACTTTTACAGTGAGGTACAGTCACTTAATCTTAATACATCT